TAATCTCGAGGGCTTCATTAATGCTGAGTTCGGATGAAGGAGACTGTAGGGCTCCCCCAGTGGGAGGATTGTGAGGATGATTTTTGAGAATGGGGTTTAAGGTTTTCAAAAATCTGCTGATAAGATCATAGTGACCATGTTGACACAGCCGACATTGCTTACCGCTCAGACTGAACTAGAAAAACAAAGTGCTAGCAAACAACAAACGGAATGTCCTTGAATGCTTAGTGTTCAGAAGCCTTATGCTCTCAGCTGAAACTCTCTATTTTATGCCCTAAAGCCATCAGAATGTGTATTTTAGCTCTTTATTGGAGCCGAAATGGACAACTCCAAACACTGCCTGGCAATTTCTCAACACGGAACGCTCTAACCAAAGTTTGTAGGACCCCCGCAACCAAAAACAACTTTATACTTTCGAGAAGCTCACACTAAACAAAATCCTCACAAAACTTGTCTTAAGAGCAGCCATGAACCCTACACTTTGAGACCGCAGCCCTAAGCTCTAAAGGGTAAAGGGGACAAACTTCTGCTGAAGGATATAGTCCCCCTTAAGTAGATAGAATATGGCTTTGGGTATTTTAATGAAAAGATCCCCATATACCCCCTATTCTATCTACTTAAGGGGGACTATATATACTCTTGTCTTGCCAAGATGCGAGGAGCCGGGAGACGAGTTCGCCTTCTCCGGCCTCCCTGACAGGGCTAAAGAGGTGAGTTAAATCAGGAACCACCGGTTAGGGTTTAGGGTTTAGGGTTGTCCCTAAGGGTCCATGTACCCAATAATTAGGTCCCTTTAACGGGGATATATAAGGATATATAAGGGTATATAGGGCTTAGGGTCCATGTACCCAATAATTAGGTACTTGGGCTTTGGGTAGTAGTAATTGTGCTACAGGTTTTGGGTAAGTCTATGATTATTAGGTACTTGGACCCTTAGGGACTGGCATCACAAAGGCTACAAACCCTAAACTCTAAACCCGAAACAAGAAGCAGGCTGCGCTCTTATTTTGCTCGGGGGAGGCCCAGTCGGGGTCTCAGGGTTGGGTGGTTTCACGCATTGGGATTTAGGACTCCGTGGTTGTGGGGTGTAGTGGTCAGGGTTGTAGGGCTTGGAGACTTTAACGTTTTGGTGCCTAGCTTTAAGGTTTTGGAGGTTCAAGGTCTGGCGATGAGGATGCTCCGATTTCGGCCCTCAACCCTAAAACCCACACCAGGCTTTAGGTTGCAAGCCTTGAAGTGAATTAGGGCTTCGGCTCAAATGTTTGGACTCTATGGTTGCAGGTGGAGGGCAGGGATTAGGGCTCAATGATTCAGCCAAAGGGGTAGGCTTTACCTGGAACCTCAAATCCGTACAGTTTAGTAGTGTGATTGCTGCTGCGGCCTCAGTATTTGGGTTTCTGGGGTAGGTGCATCATTTGGTGAGCACAATGAGAGAACGTTGGTGATTGCTCACGCTTCTGGAATACTCCAACGACCCCGCATCAAGGACCCCTGGCTTTAAAGTTATGGTTCGCTGATTTCAGACTCATTGAGCAGTTGTGGGTGTGTATATAAAACTAAACCCCCAAAACTAAACTGGTTTAATGGCGGTTCCTGCTTGGTCGACATGTAGGATCAGGGAATGCTGAGTTCGAAGTTTAGAGCTAAGGACGAATACCCTATGGACAAGTTCAAAAATTGACAATCTTGATTCAAGATCATTTTCGATAGTGGTCCACGAAGCAGCCTAAACCCTAAACTTCAGGGTGAGCTCAGCTAAGCCCGTAATTTGCCCAGAATACTTTTGGCAGAGCACGGCATGGTCCAAACGGGCAGTGAGCATCTTCGGAATGTGTGAAAGAAGTGGGATGACTAGGTATCTCAAAATGGGTCCTCCAGGGACCTTCAGGATATAATATAAGGGAACTATAACAAGATTCTGCAGGTTCCCTTTGGGGATTGCTTTAAGGTTATGATGACAATAATCTCGGAATTGTGTTGAGGAGGTATCTAGAGTCTAGAAGCTCGTACTTGCATGTACTTAATTTCGGTTGGGATCCTTTGTAACATTGAACATTGGAAGTCCGAATTAGAAGGTTGCCAGTTGGGGTCCAACTAAGTCCCCTGAGAGACTCGAGATTGAACTTTCGAGAGACTCTGCAACAAAGTTTAGGGTTTAAGGGCTTCGGGTTCTCGCACAAAAAAAAGCAACACCCCTTACTGTAAGCTCAATTTACCTTTTGTTTCATACACAATGCCCACAAAGCTGTATGTAATTGGGTTTAACGTGGACATGGTTCCTAGGGCTCCTATTCAGGGTGCCTCGCCCAAAACAAGACAAGCCAGAAATACTGACTGATTTATGTGAGGCTCTGAGGCTCTGATGCTCCAATCACAGAAATAACCGGCTTAGCCACTTTAGCCTCTAGAAGCATACTTGTAACAGTCATACCCCCAGCAAGGGTGTTTGTAACGCTAAGAAACTACAATGATAAACCTCCCAGTACTAAATAACTACGATTTTTCGGCGGTACCACATACCATGATTACAATCTGGGACCGTGATATCGGTAATCATCCCTATACCCGCCTATAACCCAGTTGCCATTTCATTTTCCATGTTTTGTTCCATCTGATTCTCCATTATTGCATAATATTCCTGGACCCTGTATAATTCCTGAGTCATCCCTGCAATTGTTGTAAGACTCGGGGCCCGCAAAGTAAATCCTCAAACTTCGGGAAGGCTCAAAGCCCCCAAAGTGGGCCCTGAGCCCTAAAACTCTAAACTATAAACCTTAGGTTGGGCCCCCGCCCACTAATAGTGACCACAATGGATAATGGTAATTATATTCGGGCCCCTATATATTCCTAATATACCACTATTAGTATTAGGCCCAATATAAATCCTATATAATCCCCAATAGAACCCTATAATCCCTATAATCCTTGTAGTTTCCATTTTCTTTTCCATTATCCCTAGGTAACCCCAATAGAACCCTATAATCCCCTAGGGTTCCAAGAGTCCCTGCCTCTGAGTGCAGCTCATCGCTGCATCGTCCCGAGGCTCCAGTTGCCCCGCTTAAGCCAACGGCCACTTAGGGTTTAGGGTTTAGGGTTTAGGGCAGCTGAGGGGGTCCCTGCAAAGCTTTGTTTTCTGGCTTTCTGACCTTCTAGGGATTCTGTAGGGATCAGATGGGTGATTTAATAAAAGCCTAATGTATTCTCAAACCTGACCATCTGTTGGGCTTCGCAAGCCTGGTGCTTACCTGGACCCTCCAATGCAGTTCTCGTTTGAGCAATGATCTAAACTCTTGAAAGAGCGTTATATAAGGGGATTATACAGGACCTAGCGTAGTACTAGGAGTTTAGACTATAGCTCATTTGGACTTGGTACAACAACTTGGTTTGGATTCTTACGACGACCGCGAAACACGTGGGTCTGAGCATTTGAGGGTCTAGGCGGGGTTGGGGCGTTAAGGGTAACCGCTTAGAGTAAAAAGATTTAGGGGCTCTACCTGTAATCCCAAGTATCTACTCTTTAGCAGGAATTGCCCCCAAATCAAGAGGTATTGGGTATAACTCAAAACTCACTAGGTATTGGGGTTTACAGGTAGGCTTAAGGGCCATGGGCTCAAAGTTGGGAATTGCTAATCTGGGATTCGCCATTTCGAATCTCAAGGACCCCATAAAAAGAAAAGGAAGGAATGGAGGACTGGGTCCGCATAGTCCCTCTTTCTCCAATATCGGATTTAGGATGTTAAGTTGCTGGACGGAGTGACAAAGCTTGGGGGTCTAAGCTTAATGAATATGAGCAGCATGTACCGTCAGGCTAAATCCGGTCGGGCAACGGCAATCGGGCTCCAAGTTCACTTGGACAGTGCCTTACCAGGTTACAGCTCAAACCTGCAGACTTCAACAACGAAGTTCCGGCAGTACTTGGATAAGATCCGCGGCAGTTTAGGTTTGAGAGTTTCCTTAACTATGAGCTGTCTTCCTCGTGGGTGAACCAGGTTCTCCCCAGCTATACGTACGGAGTTGTGTCAGGCACGGTCTAGGTTTCTGCCTGCGAAGCCCCTAGACATGATTCCCCCAGAAGAACCAGATGTAGTACAACCCTACCAATTTTCATGAAACACACCCGACAAACCTGGAACGGTCTCAGTGTCAAGGGCTCTGGCCAGTCAACTGCCCAGGCCCAAACATGAGAAGCGTGAACTCTACCACCAGTTGTTTCCAGCATATGCCCTACTTCCAAACCTAGCACTATCTTCCACTTCTAGGAAAGGCCGTTACTCTCCATGAGGCACCCAAAGAAACCTGACAATGCCTTTCACGTGTATCTGCACAGCCCTCGTGTACCTAATGACGTTCACTTTTTCTTCACTGGAGCAGTTTGTGTAGGCTTTTTAACAAGAAGATGAATAACCCCCACTCTGGGGCATGGTAGCATGGTAGAAACTTGAGGTTTAGACTCCCCATACACCACCCAAACAACAAATGTTGGCCTCTTCGTAGGAACTTTATAAATAAACACGGATGGCGTGAAACACTATGGGCCCCGCCGTTGTATACTTTACTTCTGTGGTGCCGTTCTATATTAGGAAGTAGTCATCATTGGGGAGTGTGAAGCCCGGTAATAGTACCTAGTCCCTGTTCTAGGGAGACAAATGTACCCTTGCTGCAGTTATATGAGGAGACCCGTTCCTAAAGCATGAAGATCCCCAACGCTGACCGCGATTAGAAGGGAATCCTTCAGCTTATTGCTCTTACTGTTGTTATTATCATTGTTGTCATGATTATTGTTGTTGATATTATTGTTATTAATCTCATTATCCTAAACCCAAAGCACATCAACCCGTAACCCTAAACCCTTAACCCTAAACCACAAACCCTAATCCCTAAACCCTAAACCCTAATCCCTAAACCCTTAACCCTTAGCCCCCAAACCCTTAACCCCTAAACCCTAAACCCCTTAACCCCTAAACCCTAAAACCCAAACCCTATAGGAGTAAGCTCCCAACAGCTCGCAGATGCTCCGCGAACTGCATCTGCTGCAGCTGCTGCTGCCTGGATTCAGGCTTTGCAGTTTTGGATTTAGGTGGTTGTCAAAATTATCGTCCCTTTTTGGGTAGCCTAAATATTAGGTGCCGTATTATAATAGGGATCCAAAAAGGGACCATAATTTTGATAACCACCCATTTAGGGTTTACATGTTTAGGGTTTAGGGTGTTTAGGGTTTAGGGTTTACATGTTTAGGGTTTAGGGTGTTTAGGGTTTACATGTTTAGGGTTTAGGGTGTTTAGGGTTTACATGTTTGGGGTTTAGGGTTTAGGATTATAAATAGTACCTACATTGGGCCCCAATGTCTATAGATAGTGCCTACATTGGGCTATTCGGAGCCCTTGTGTTAGGCTTTGCGGTTTTGGATTTAAAGGTGTACGGAAACGCTCCAGTGTAGTTCCTTTTTAGGTTTGGTGTGGCTTTTTGGTTAAGACTCTTATTAGGACTACGAAAAAAAAAGTACTACATTGCAGGGTCTAGGTAGGGGTTCGCGTATTTAGGATCGGTGCTTAACAGTCATAGGGGGAAAGGGGTGTACAGCAAGCGGGGAGTAGGGGTTGTAGGTTTCAGGAGGTTGAAAGTTCAGGAGTTTCGGCTGTAGATGGCTTACAGGTTCCAAGCTCTTGAAACCCTCCACACAGTTTCAACCCTAAACTCTGAAACCCTATAAACTTCGTTAGGCCCCCAACCAGGGTGGATCATCAGCTCCAGGGGCCAAGGTTCAAGGTAAGCACAGTGCTCAATCGCCAAATGTGAGCCCTAAGCATCGCACCTACTCAGATCTAGAGGCCCAGAGGGTCCGTGTACCCAATAATTAAGTACTTGGGATTTGGGTAATAGTTTTTATAGTACAGGTTTGGGGTAAGTATATGATTATTAGGTACTTGGACCCTCTGGGGAGGGTTACAGGGGTTTGCTCAGGGTGGTTCAGGGCTGACAGAGCCGAGGATTTAGGGTTGCTAGGGGTTTACGGTTAAGCGCTAAGGGTTCCGAAGCCCGGATCCGCTATGCTGGGCTTTGGCTACCACTTAGAGGCGTGAAGCCATCGCCGCAGGTGCTGGGCCTCAGAAGTGGCACGTATGATCGTTCTGCTAGGTTTGCTGTTAAGGAACTTAACTTAAGTTTCCACAATATGGGTATATAGTAGTAACAGAAGTTTCCTTATGATGGCATTTTCAAAACAGTCCTTAACAGCCACCCGGTATGAAGGACACTTCCAGAGCCTTGGTCAAACAAAGGGCAGCAGCCATAGTTAACTCTACCCCCCACAATATGGGAGCTCTTCTTATTTCTGGCTAGCAGGGAATGCAGGAATGGCAAGAAAAAGAAAACCAGCATACTTTTGAAGAATGTATATATATACATATATACATACATATATATGGGTGGTTGTCAAAGTTATGGCACCTTTTTGGGTACCCGAATAAATAGGTGCCGTATTATAATGGGGAACAAAAAAGGGACCGTAATTTTGACAACCACCCATATAGAACTGCTATAAGGATCCATGCCTTCCTTCCTTGCTAACCGTAGGTTCGTCTTGCGGGGAGCCGGAACCCAGGACGACTGTTGCTGAGATCCAGGAGACAATGGCTGAACTAGGGCACTGGGAAGCATATGGAAGCATTAAACCGCAAGCATTCAAACATTCTGGTAGGCCTTTCTTATTCAACTAAAGGTGAATGTCTGGAGTTGCGTGCATCGGATCAATAAGCCGGTGCAGCTTGTAAACATGATAGTCTCCGTAGCAGGTTCGGCAACTGCAAGCTCGGTGGGCAGCTCTTTTAAATTCAAGGGTCCCCTACTACCCCCTTCTACCACCCCCCCAGGCTCCCCCTGCATTAGCCTTCAATAGCCGTAGCCATCCTTCAATGATATTCATTAATTGAAGCAAACTTTAAGGGTAGAAGAGGGGCAGGGGTAGTTGGGGAACCCACGGTACGTCAGCTTTAAAACTCACTATGTCCTTCTGTCCAGGATTTGGAAAGTCAGTTCGCGCTGCATGCACCCTCCCCAAAACAAAGATGAAACCCCTGTTTTGATGTTAACAGTTTGTCTCGAGCATATGAGTTTTCGGGGCAATTTCAAACGCAATCTACACCCCATCATGCCTGTTAAAGACCTCCTAATCCTCTCCTCCAACATCCAGACCCCTACCCCCCTTATAGGAAAAATCCCATGTATTTCTTGCTGCATTTAAAACTGCCTTGAACGAGCTGGTACAGTGTCATTATGAGGGAAGCGGGCTATTTCGGTGCATCTTGCACTTGATTGGTGCCTCTGCAGTACGTCCATCCGCATCACCATCAGCCTTGGTGAAGTGGCTAATGCAGTTGCGGGGGAACCCTACATCATCATCTTACATCTTGGAAAACTATGCTTGAAACCGTTGGCCCCGTTTACACAGGCTTTGAAGATCTGCTCATTTCCTGAACATGATGTGAAGTTCAAGACTGTTGAAGGGATCGGCTTTGCCTGGCGATGTCCTACTGTGCTTTCAGACTTGCCAGGCCAACACTCAATGGCAGCTCCTGCGAAGCAACTACTTCCTCCAACCTTGTCGGGCCTGAGTCATACCCAAGGCACATGAAACCATGAATAAACTGGACCCTACATCGCAAAGCTCATGCCTTGATGCCTTGAGCGCTGAAAAGCTTTAAACCTTAACCCTAACCCTAGACCAATACATCTACACTCCCCCAAACTAACATGGAAACCCATATAATCCCCTGTTAGAAGGACTGTAGTCTTTTTGGGGCCCTTTTTGGGTTTCCATGTTAGTTTCCGGGAGTGTAAACCCTGAACCGTGGGCTCTTGTAGCTCTGAGGATCCAACTCCTCACCGAGAAGCCTTCGCAGCTTGCACTCCCATTCCTGCACGGTGCTGCATGCAGGAACCCTAGGGATCCATGTACACAAATATTACCTACATTGGGCCCTAAAGTCTGTAAATATTACCTACATGGGGCTATTTGGATCCCTAGGGGAAGTTTTGCACCACTTGTTCCAGAAAATTTTGTATAGTGCATATTCTTCCAGAAGGGTCGACACATGAGCTATAGTCTAAACTCCTAGTATCCCCCCTAATAAGCCCTATAGTAGTCCCCTATGTAATCCCCTGTATAACCCCCCTTTAAGGAGTTTAGACTACAGCTCACATGGATGGGGTCTTGCCAAGCCAGACTCGAGTCCTCTGCTTCCAGCCAGTTCTGAAAGTTTTCCAGCAGTTGCTGTCGCAGCTGTGCACTTGGTGTGGTCACGTGCCCTCGCTGTAAGTCCCTGCGGTCCCGAGGTGTGACCGGAACTCTAGCCCCACAAAGACTGAAGTGTAGCCGCCAGAAGCATCCAACTTAGCCACATTGGAGACCAACATGCGGGCCCGTGTCATGATGGGAGCTCCAATCAAAGCACCCGAACTATATTAAGCTAGAAAGAAACACCCCACTTGTCTAGCACCTGAGATTTGAATGGCATAGGGCTTAGTGTTTTGGGCATTAAGATAAAAATCCGGGCTTGTGAGCATGCACGGGCAGGGGCTTCAGAACTACCCTGGTGTGGAGGTGAGCGTTGCAAGGACTGTCCTACACCCCAAGCCAAATAGAGAAGCCCTTGGGATCCCTCAAGGAAGTGCCATGGTTTTTTTGCGGGTGGTGCAGCAGGTAGGCCCCTTTTCGGACATGCCCAGTTGTACTTATCACCGCATGGCTTGGCTTTAGAGATCCAAGTTGCCTGTTTTGCTGGGCAAGTGCCGGCTCAACAATTCCAAGCGCAACTAATGCTGCATCTTCAGTACCATGGCGCTTTCTAAAGCCAGCCTGTAACACCAGTGACCTACAGTTTAGTCGCACACTACCCCTAGTAGGTATACCAGCCCATCAAACTGTAGGTACTGGAGGTTACAGGAGAGCTTTTGTGAAAACCCAAAAAACGGTTAGCGTTGAACGAGTCTAACGGTCTTCGGATCTCTGCTCAGGAAAGCCCCTCCGACGTCCCTAAACCCCAAACCCTACACCCTAAACCCTAAGCCCTAAACCCTAAACCCTAAACCGCGTTCTGGATCAGTGAGCTTCCTTGGCGCAAAGTTCCGGCATCCTCAGAGCAACGTTGGGGCAGCTGAATACTTACCTCTCCTTATATAATATTGAGCCCCCCCCCCCACGCCCTAACAATGAATAATCCCAAAATTCCTATATACGACCATGGGAATATCTGAAATTAGTAAGGCAGGTTGGTTTTTAGTTTTGGCAGGGGATTACTGAATTTCTGAGTCTGAGACTATTTGCATTGAAGCCAGCTCCGATTAATGCCATGTATGACCTCCACCGAGCCCATTCTAAGACAAGGGAGCCGTTTGACCCTGGGACGATATAAGGACCACAAGAGACTGTAGGGTTTACCTCTATAACGGTCATATCCGGATATACCTGTCACCCCAAGTACCTACAGCTGAACAATAGTTATCCCTTGCTTAGTAGATATAACCCATAAAACTGTAGGTAATTGGGGTAACAGGTAGGGATCATTTGGCAACTCCCAAACACATCACCACGCAGCCTGATAAGCCTCAACCCCTGAACCTCCTGCCTCAAACAGCTCCTTGCGTGAAAGGATTGGAAGCATCCCTTAGAAGAATCTTAGTGGTTAAAACTGTGTCCTATAGTCCTGAATATTTCTCATGATCCCTTTCAGAAACCGCACATAACACCTCAAGTCCCTGAAGGCCTGCTTTCTGAGACACTCCCATAGGAGGAAGGCAGAGAAAACTGCCAAGGCCTTCAACCCCTAGCAACATTCGAAACTCCGCTATGCCCCGAAAACCCCAACCTTCCAAAGGCCTCAACCCTAAACTCCCCATCCCCAAAATCTTGAACTCTCAACCCCCAAATAATCAGGAGAAGGAAGGTGCCTCGTGCATTGCTGCATGAAGCGCTCGCCGCACCTGAAAGCCAGGCTCATCTGTTTAGGGCTTCAGTTTTTTGGGGTGCAGGCGTTTAGGCTGGTCGGGGCTTGGGGTTTAGGGGGCTGAGGGTTGGGGACTTAGGGTTTTAGGGGTTTGCGTTTAGGGGGTGTTGGGGTGTAGCGCTTATCAAGGCTTGGGGATTTAAGGTCTTTTTTGTTCTCGCAGTTTGGCCTTTATAGCTGGGCGCTTCAGATTCTGAGGGTTTGGTGTTCTGGGGTTTGAGGGTTTGCCCAGACCTCCTATGTAGTTCCTTTTTGGGTAGCACATTGTACTCCTTTACCAAAATCCATAACAGACCCAGAAAGGAACTACATTGGATCCCTCGGGCGGTTTAGGAATGGTTTGGAGGTTTGGGGGGTGTGGAGGTATGGGGTTTCTGGGGGCCTCTAGGACCTTCTAAAAACCTTACGGAATCCAGGATTTCATATGGGCACCACAAAGGGATGGATTCTAGAGGGTCGAGCTTTTTGCATCTATTCGCCTTGGCGGTCTCTTCGCATTCTCGCATACCCCGAACCCCAAACCTTCTCTTGGTCCTATAAACCCTATATTACATGTCCCTGTACGTCCCTGTATGCCCCCATATGAGCCACTGTCTAAACTCCTAGTATCCCCTTCATAAGCCCTATAGTAGTTCCCTATAACCCCCCTTGAAGGAGTTTAGACTATGGCTCATATTGCCCTGCATCTCCGTCTGCAAGCCTGAAACTTTCTGGGGGCAAAGCCTAGTCAGAACAGAGCTCTAGATGTAAAGATTCAAGCAGCTTTGACATGGTTCAAGATGGAGCTTTGATGGGGTTGGGGTTCGGGCTGAGGATTGTTGAAGACGCGTGCCCTAACGAAGCAACTGACTAGGCCGCCTCGCCAGCATTCCTCGACTTTTGCGTGTCGCAGTAATGGTAGTATGGAACACAGCCTACAGCAAACCACATGGTCAACGTGCAAAAAAAAACAGTACTCATGATGAGCCCCAGAAGTTACAGCTCCAAACTTTTGGGCTTGGTTTCCCAAAATTAGGGGTACCTTTAAAGGGGGGTATATTGGGGTTATATAGGGATAATGGAAAAGAAAATGGAAACTACTATTTTGGGAGTGTAGGGGCTCCGTGGAAGCCCTAACCCTGTAACTACTCGTCATCAAGCGGGTGGTCAGGGTTGCGTTCTTTTCGAGCACAGAAAGAGATACCTTTATGAGCGGAAGAATACTCAGAGCCCCCGTCGCCGCCCCCCCCCCCAAGAAAACGAAGTCTCGACAAGCAGAAATAGAAAAGGTGATCATGTGCCGGTCGGGGGCCGCTCACCTCTATCTCCTTGAGGAAGACCTTAGACTCCCTCAATGCCAATTACCCTCAATGACCTTCGGCCAGGGTTGAAAAACGATTCCGAAAGACCAGCCAGGAGAAGCCGCCGAAGATTCAGCCACCCAGCAAGCAAAAGACAGACCAGTCTGTGATTGTAAATTACGCCAGACGCTGCAGACCGCTGGCCTACACCGAGCCCTGTGAGCCCTGAAATCCCTCCTACTCCCTGCGCCCCTTGGAAACGGTCCCGCGATCTCAACAACCAGAATATGATGTTGACAAGCATGTGGGCACGTCAACAGAAATAGAAAAGAAAAGGCATGCCAACGGTGCACAAGTCCTATGAAACCCGAGAACCGAGGCAAATCCTGCAACAACCCAAGAACTATAGACCATGACCATCTACTTTTGGATTCAACACAATGAACCCTTCACGGCCTTAACCTTGAATCTCAAAGCAAATAGCACCAGGCCTCGTCCATGACTGTACGCGGCTGGTCTTCCATCTGCGAGGAGGACTCTTCTGCTTTTTGATGGTTCGTAGGGAATGTGCAATGAAAAAGAACGTGGAAGGCAACACGCATTTTTGGTTTAAGTTGTAAGGTTCAGGGCTTATGGTTATTAGCAAGAAACGTCGGAATGGTTTACAGTGGTCATTAAGAGGGGTATGCTGGGGACCAAGGGCGTGAAGGTTCACTGCTTCGAGTTGTGGTTTCGGCTTGCAGGGTAAAGTATTCAGAGTTTCGCGGCCTTGAAGCTTAGGGAGATAGCTGGGAGGGACGTATGATGCACAGCTATGGTGGGTTGAGGAAGATAGGGGTCTACAATCTAGCTGAAATCCAAGCCTGTTGCTCAGTAGCCGCAAACAGCAACCCAAACCGTGAGAGCGCTTCTGTGGCACAGCCTGGGCCTAGAATGCGCTGCTACGGTGGATACTAAAAATCCTGCATGACCCTAAGTACCTTACCTTACACCTTGGGAATAATGGATGGTACTATGGTATACTAGGGTCATGCATGATTTCTAGTAGTATCAACAGTAGGGACGCACGACTGTGAACCGGGCGCTGCCAGGCTCATGCAGATTGGGTGAGGGTGTTGCTTGCCAGAACACACAACTGACCTGTGTGGTGTCTCTAAATAACGACGTACTAATGTGGCACCCAGTACAGTCAAAGGTCGGGGTACTGTGAGGAGTCTATTCTGAGGTTTTGCGGAAGCTATCAGTGCAGCTTTAGGTATTCTACTGCGTGCTGTAAGTGCTTCTAGTTGTACTCGGCTGACTTGTACCACTTCCGGTGTCACTTGACGCCAGACCATGCAATAGTCTTGCGAGTCCATACAGAAGTTACCAAGCTACGCGAACTTGATTTTCTTCCCTGTAAGACGATCCTACCTGTCACCTAGCTACCCTGGGCCCTAAAGCCTAACTGTATCTACACAACTCCCAAGATAAGGGGAAGCCAGCACCGCGGCTGGCCGAAGCACAAATTGGGGTTTTGGGGCTTCGGCTGACTTCTCCAAATCCCTGTGAGGCCCCAAGGAATCCCTAGCCGAAAGCCCAGGAAGCTGAAAATCTCAACCCTTCCCGGGACCGAACTACCAGCATTCCTGGAACTCTGTCCAAACTCACATTGGGCAAGCAAGAATGGTGAGAAGTCCTACTAAAAAGGACCAAGAGACTTTGGGGGGGAGTTAGAACTTCCAAACTCGATAACTGAGAAATATACAATAGTAACAGTAATAATAATAATAACAACAATAATAATTGTAATAATAATTGTAATAATAATAGTAATAGTAAGAATAATCAATGAAGCTATATCAAGTGTTATGAGAAGTTATATGGCATGGTGTTTAGATGAAGGGTCTTGGAAGTTTTGGGGCCCTCCTGTGGTGTCTATCCCCAAAGAACAGGATCAAAGGCCTTGCCACTTTGTTGTTATGGAACTTAAGCTAAGTTACTATAGAGGTATTATAGTGCTTATACAGGGGTTGTACAGGATTTATCATGTACTTGCTGCCCAAGTTGTAGTTTGACTCTTTCGTAGGTAACCCCTACATACGGCCCCAGTTACCTACAGCTTCTACGTATGTCACCCCTGATTAGTACGCATAACCTAGAAAAAACGTGGGGTAACAGGGGTTGCAGGTACAGCCTAAACGCTAGACCCTGAACACGAAACCCAGCATCGCAACAAAACCTGTGACTTGGCACCATGTCAACCTGAGCTACAACCAACATTTGCCGCATAACTAGCGGAAACAGGTCCTTTTGGAGAATCTACTGGCGGCTATATAAAGCTACGAAAGAAACCCGTATATCTACTCTTAGTGGGGCCCTTGGCAACCCTAACCCTAAGGGCCAATAATTGGATACTAGGGGTTTTGTTACTAGTAACTTTAATACAGGTCACGGGGAAGTATGGGATTATTGAGTACTTGGACCCTTATAGGGTAATATTGACGATAGCTCACCTGGCCTTCTCGCTCTCCGTGTCCGGCACGATGTCTCGGCGCGGGTTTACGGTTCCGGGTTTAAGGTTGCCCTCCCTAAAAAAAATGGAACCCCATGTGGCTACAGGGCCCCTTTTGTTTGGGGGAGGGTGAATAAGGTCGTGTCTGCTGGGTAGCATTTATGTATGTCCCACAGAAGGCCCATGACCCTCCCTAAATGCCACGATAAGATCCCTTGCGCATAAAGCAGAGATCTCGTGTTTTAAGAGATCAACAGCCGGAAGAGACAGTACATCTCGAACCAAAAGCTGAGCAAGCTTCGACCAGTTGATCAGGAATGGAAATAGACGTGTCTTTTCCCACCTACGCAGAGTGCGCTGAACCCTAACCCAGACCCTACAAACATACGAATCCTAGTGCTTGAGCCCTCTATTCAAAATCCAAATCCACAATCCTGAGCCCTCAACCCTAAACCCTAAAGCCTAAACCCTGAAAGCCTGTGGCCTGCGCCATTAGCCTGAGCTCTAATTTCTGCACCCTCTGAAAACTATGCTACACGCTGCACCCTTGTTCTCCCTAGACTTTCCCCTTTCAATTTCTGGGGTCCCGGTTCTTTGCATGTTTCGGATCCTTCGATTTCAGGGTCGACTCAAGCATGCCACAATCAAACCACTTACGGCTCCCAGCGTCCTCACGCTCGTGACTACATCACCAAGAATAAAGTTTCGTCGCATTTGCTTACTTTCAAGTTGCGGAGGACGCGGAGTACAGGAAAGTGCGTCCTGGCTAGCGGAGGAATGAATCACCTGGAATAAATTTATAATACTTTAATTGCTCCAGACGGAGGACTTGGTGGAGGAGTCTACGGGGGCAGGGGGCTTTCAGCAGGAGATCTGCAAGGATGCAGTAGTGTGACGAGCTTTCATCCTGCCGCAGTATAAGGTTGAAACCATGGGCCCCTAGTATTATATATACCCTACATGTACCCTTAGGTTAAAGGGGGCCCATGTTGGGCCCCATACTTCTAGCCTTAGATTTGCTTGAGTTTGGAGGACAGCCCAATTCCGTTTGAATATCCGATCCCGGCATCATGCCCGTAAATTGGAACGATGTCTCAAAGGGACCTACCAAATTCTCGGGACATGCAATGCAACTCTAAACCCTCAACCCTGAACTGCGGACAACTCTCGACCCGAGCCATCTCTACTTTGCCAAATGAATCGCTAGCTGGGGTCATGAATAAGGGCAGGCGATTGCACTAGTAGCCCTCCAGCCTATGATCGGAATACATTGTGGCTGCTTCAGAGATTACTGTGGCTCGAACAACGGCCTTCCCCCCAAAAAAATGAAACGCCCATGACGTAGATGTCTAGATGATTACCGATTGCATTTTAAAGTCTATTCGTCGTACCCTGTACTATAACTATGCAAGGAACCTAGGACCATGAGCTTGGTACTTTGTCTAGGCCCCTGTACTCTGCGAAATGTTCTGTAAAGCGGCCAACCATCCCCCAGAATTGCAGGAGGAGGAGAAGTTTAGATTCCCTTTTGCAGATGCGTTAGGGAGCCTATCCCCCAAATGTATGCAAGATTCCTACCAAGAGGCTCTCCTATAACTTAATCAACCATCAGCAAATGGATCTGTGACTAAATTTTGTGTAAATACCATGACCTATTCAGGAGGTATGCTACTTATGGTGGTAGCTATAGCTGCTATGTAAATCCGCCGAGTTGTACTCAGGCAATACTTACAAACTACGTATGAACTACGTATGCACCATGTTTATTGAATGCTAAGAAATTCACAGGCCCTTGTGTTCAAGGCCAGAGTTCGAACATATGGAAGGTAGAGAGCGGCGAGCAGTGGCTGACGCTGAGAATGAGTCGGCAACGGCTGATCAGACTGCACCAGAGAATGCTTCTGCCAGGCCATTCTTGCAGAATTACCAGCAGCTACATAACTTTCTGATGCAACCCTTGCGGAATGTCTTGCTGAACGAGGGCTGGCGAGAGGGTCAGAAAGCAAAGCGGCTTTCTCAGCATGCGATTGGGCTTCAACAAGGCTTATCCGCTACGCAGGCAACATAGTCACGACCTACAAGTAAGGCCCACCTACAAAAAATGGATCTTAAACAAAGTAGTCTGAGACCAAAGAACTTGATTTTCCATAAAGCTGGTCAACGTAGTCCGAGACCCAAGGTTAGATTTTGGATGGGAGTCGACAATTTTCAGTGGCTTGAATTTTGCCACATTTTTGGGTATGCATGACAGAGACATTTGCAACAGTGGGCTCTTACAACAGCTGCTTGCTGCAGCGCAGCGTTTGCGCTTGTTCGGCCGCTGCAGCTTGTGGGACGCTATTACCCACCCTGGCACTAGATAGAAGCGAGCACCTGATATGAACAGTTTTACCGATTCCTTGCAAGCGATCCGTTTCACATGTCGTAGTGGTGGATAGCGCAAGGTAACACCGTGCTGATGTCAATTTGACGAAGCAGCGCGCCGCAGTAAAAATGGCTGACGAGACGCGCAAAATGAAAGTAGGCGAATTTTGGGGAAGAGCATTCGAACGACTTTTGAAGAACGACTGCGGAACTCCTTATAACAACACTTGTGTCAGCAAATGCAGAACTTGTTCGTAGTGCCGTAACTTCTGGTAAAAGCAAGTGGACTTCATATATAAACCCTGCACCCCTAAACTTTAAAAACTACAAGCCTATCAAGCCGAGAACCCAAGCCCTGAGTGCATGGCCGTCTCCGGGTGGCGCCGTTGGCTCCAGGCTATGATTCTGAATTCGAATCGGGCTTGGCCTTGCAAAGCTTAGACTATAGGCTATAGAGTTTATTGGAATTACTTAGGGCTTGGGGTCGGACTTTTGACTGGGATTTCAAAAGTCTTGAACTAAGAAAGTTAAGACGCTGATTGTCAGGTTATTGGACCAGACCGCTTCTTAGAAGTGTCCAGGCATTACCCTAGCCGTGCTCATAGTACCCATGGATGGCACATGGTCTGCAAAATTTCAGGC